TGTGCAGTTTAAATAGACCGCCAGATTGGAAGGGAGCGCTTGGTTAGTGATTATGGAATAAGGCATGTCATGTGTGTAATCAGCGCAGCTCGAGTTGACCTGCCTGAACTAGCTCGCAGGCTTCGCTCCATTTGCTTTAGGTAAGCCATAAACAGTTGAAATAGTTAACTAAAAGTAATGGATAAACAATTAAGATAGTTAAAAGCAATGGATAAACTGTTGGTATAGTTGCTTTAAGTATGCAATAAACAGTTGAAATAGCTAAAAGTAATGGATAAACATCTGAATCAGTGGTAGTTAGTGGTAGCACGAGTGCAAAGTTGGGCTTACTAGCGTTGACAATTCAAGTGTATTAAAACGCATTGTAAATGTAATTGTAGCCACGTTTATGTAGTTAATAGTGTTTGACAACATCCAGTAAATATTTGTGTGGTTTATGTTGGTTGGGTACAAGGTAAATGGTATGTGGATTCAGACATTCATACCATCCTTAGGCTAGCAATCCCAAAATGTACCTATTAAAATAAAGTAAAAACCAAATTGCTTATTTTTTGTTTTTTTTAGAGTATCTGTAACAGTATTCTTAAGACAAATGCGGTGATATGTGTTAACAGGGAGAAACAGGACCTACGGGAGACGATGGATTGCCAGGAGATCCAGTGAGACTCTTTTAAACATTGATTTATATTCAGTAATGTATGCATGAGATTCCATTATACAGTATTCAAACTGTGAGCTGATACATCAGTGTTTGACTGGGATTCTGCTGTTTTCATAGGGACCAAGAGGACCAGCAGGGTATAAAGGAGAAAAGGTACCCATAGACAGACATTGTCTATAATCTCTCTAGCTGCGTGTCTGTGTGCTCTCTCATCCATATATTGCCTGTGTGACTTGTATTCAATCCTCAGGGTGACCCATGTGAAGTGTGCCCTGTGCTGCCTCAAGACGTGGGTAACACAGTGGCTCTGCAAGGAAAGCCAGGTCTTAAAGGAGAGCCTGGATTGCCAGGAATAGGAGAGAGAGGACTGCCTGTAAGTACAACCGTTTGACCATAATGTCGAACTATAATGTATTCTGAACCTGCCCTGAGTGTTCAGTTTAACGTTTTTACGATCTTGTACATGTTTTATTTGGGAGCCGTAGTAACAGTCTAAGCTGTAGCTGATGATTGAACCTTGAGCACTTGTTTGATAGTGTATATATTTTATTTTTCTTATCATTCTGGGGGAAGGTATGGCGTTTACTTCTACCTTGGGGTTGTATTTACCCTTGTAATTCTCACAGCAGCTCAAGGAGAGAAAGCCTGATATGCTGTCAAACGTTTATTCTCCAAGACAAAGGTCATTTTGTTAATATAATCTTAACGCGTCTTTCTTTCTCTCCGGTGAGTCAGGACTCAACATACTGTGCATTGTGTTTCTCTTTCTGTTCATTCTGCATCCTCCTACTTACCCTAGCAGGTGAAATGGGGAATGATTTGTGGGGGAAAAAAGAATATAAATCTAGAGCCTTATGAGAATCTCTGTGCAACGATTTCCAATAATGTCAGCATCCATCTGTCATACCTGGTTAGGGCATAGGGAGAAGTAGGTAGAGCAACAGAGAGGGAGAGGGAGATATGACCTCACTCTAACAAAGTTGAGCTAACAGCATTCTTACTTCTGGCTCATCCCTGCTCTTCTTTTCTCTTTTCTTTCCCTATATTTACCAGGGACCTCAAGGTACAGATGGCAAGACAGGACAGAAGGTATAAAGTTCCCCCTCATTCATTTACAGCTTATGGTTCATTCATATTCTGTGGAAGCATGACCTATACACACTCATCTGCATTCCTACACATTCAGATATGCTAACATCAGCAGTGTGGAAGGCTCTCTTCTAAAGTAGATGCAAGCGAACTAGCTGAACTAAACTCCACAAAACAAGAAGAGTTCATAGCACTCCTACCCACTGTACCCATATGTGCCAACCAGTCCATGCACCAACACCTACCCACTCACACACTGCTGTCATACTCCCACATCTGCCTAACTGCACAACTGTTTGCCTCCAGTGCCATGTCGGGACATCTTGAAGCAAACAGGCTCATCAGGGTGAGCTGCAACTAATTTGCCTTCTTGGATGTTTTTTTTGTATTCTGCAGGGAGAATCAGGATCAGATGGTGCCAAAGGAGAAAAGGTCAGCTGTGTGTCTTTATTAGGCTTGAGGTTAAACAATTTCTTGTTTAGACTTCTTTACGCTGGTGTCAGCTAGATGGAGCACCCTAATTAGTGAATGAAACATTGGATTTATTGCCCAGTCTGCACACATAATGTTTTATGTTGCATTAGTTGCACCTGTCTTGGAGCACCAAAACATTTCTATGTTAATTTACCTCATTTGAATGAGTTCTTATGTGGATAGTTACTTAGCGATTACCTTTGACCTACCTCTGATCTGTCTGTGTGCTTTAGGGAGAGCCATGCTCTGTGTGCCCCACTCTCGGAGAGCTACCCGCTAACCTCGTCCCCGGTGTCATGGCCCAAAACCTGCAGCAGAAGGGAGAGAAGGGAGAGCCTGGGACTGGACAGAAGGGAAAGCAAGTAAGTGTGTTCTAGTACTGTAAGAATGAATGTGTTTCTAGCGTTGAATAAAAAGCAGAGCAGTTTGAAATGCTCATAAACGCAAGGTGAAAACAATAACAGTCTTATCTTGTTATTGTTGGAGGACTTTGCTCTCACCGAAAGGAAATAATACATAATGGTAGAAGGTGGTAGAAGAAAACTGATTGGGTAATTGCTTTTTTTTTTTTTTTTTGACTATGTGTCTATTTTCTGATTTTGTTAACGTAAGTGTGTTTGCTAGCATGTGTGAGCAGTGATAAGAACCTTCATTAAAATGATGTATCATTCACTTTTTCTGCTCCACAGGGGGAACCAGGAAATGTAGGATCACCTGGCCTTAGAGGAGAGAAGGTAAGTAACATAAAAAGAAACAGGACTGAGAGTAGGTGACCTCAATAGCAGACTAGGCTTATATAAGGGGAACTCACTCGGTATGTTGCTGAATGGGGCTCTTAATAGACTTCATGAGGAAGATAATCACAGCAGTGCGCTAATTTTAGGGCCCAAAACTGTCTGCCATAGGGATTTTACTCAGCAGGGAACTTATTAGTGAAAAGCTTAGGTAGTGAAAAAACAGAATCATTTGACATGGCTGCCTGTGGGGTGCTCCTTACTATGAAATGTGAATTACCAATTTAAAAGACCCATCCATTTTTATCAATTTGTGAAATTCAGATACTGTAGTAATTTATTTTATTTGTCTGCAGGGTAGTGCAGGCAGCAAAGGAGCTGATGGTAAGCCGGTAAGTTCAGGTTCAGTTCTTTGGTACAGAATGTCTTACCTCACATCCTGATTCAGTGATGTTGTTAAATGAAACGTGTCCGTATGACAGGGAAAACCTGGACCAAAAGGACCCAGTGGCAAGGATGGACAGAGTGGCCAAAAGGTAAGAGAATAGAGACATAAACCTATATGGGGAAGCTTTCTGGGTCTTACCTTACGTGATTTTTGTAGTCAGGGTATTTCAACGAATTACCTTTACCCAATAAAGAGTGCAGCAGCGAGGTAGAGACAGTGTCATGTTAGGTTGGACATTTTCAATGTTCAAAAATAAAGCAATTTGGTGGAAACCAGCTGTTTGCCTGCACCATTTAAATACTGAAGCCCCTTCATTGTAGGTATTATATTTGTAAACGTCAGCATGTATAAACCTGCTGTTTGTCTGTTATTATACAGTAGTGCAGTATATACAGGCAAAGCTTCACTCATAAGAAACCATCTCAATAAAGTATTATTGGTGAGCTAGAGGGGATGATGAAAATAGACCTTTTCCATTTTTTTTTTCATTTTTTTATGAAAGTTTCCTTTTTGGGGTATTGAACATTTTACAAGTGTTATTTTGGAAATGTATGCAGTTGTCAGCATCTCACAGTGATGTTGCTCAGAAACCCATCTATATGTGCACATCTTATATTTACACCATTTAATACTTTATCTCATTCCATGACATTTAATTATTATATTTATCTTCCGACAGGGAGAGCAAGGGCTGCCTGGTCTTGGTCTTCCTGGCCTTAAGGGTGAGAAGGTAAGCATAGACGTATGTATTGCTCTTGGCATCTTTTAGCTTCATTGTTATGCAAACTAACCGTCTTGACTCCCTGCCCTTCCCCAGGGCGAGTGTGGTTTGTGCCAGCCGGCCGAGGTTGGTAGCGCACCTGCAGGCATCAAAATGCCTGAGGGAACAAGAGGCAAGCCAGGTGAACCAGGCCCTCCGGGTCCACCCGGACCTCCAGGTCTCGGAGCTGATGGAAAACAGGTGAGATTGCTCCGTAAGGAAAAGATGGCCAGCACAAGAATATCTAGAAACTAAATCAAATTAGATTTATACAAAACTACACACACAACCTTTTGGAATTAGGACCTTGGTTTATCTTAGAGAGTGTTTGCATTGTTGTCCTGCTTGCAATGGAAGCAACCAGAGATTGATAAATTTGTCTAGAAAAATGACTGATGCTATCCTTTTATCTATTGTGCACTCAGAAACACAAAGTATGAATTGTCCGATTCTTTCCGATTGTTCAGATTTCCCATGATGAAAGGGCCCCTCAACACTTTCTTGGTCTCTCCTTAAGAGGGCAGTATGGTGCTCTCTGAGCACATACAGTCTCTTTAATCCCTGTTGCTTAAATTGACATGAAATGATTTATGAGTTATGTTTGTACTTTGTAAATGTTTTTACCCACTTTATGTTTGCATTTATTATTATTAGTATTGACCCCTCGTCTGAGCTTATGGGATGGTTTGAATTGTATATTTTGTATATATTCTTTATATTATTACATATTATGTTATTGTGTTTTTCTTATATTTTATCATTTATCATACTCATGACTGTGCATTTGTTCTTTAAACCCTGAAAAAAACGGGACTGAATGAATATGGAACAGTGCTGTAGCCTACAAACAAGCTCCTGCAGAACCAGAAGCATTATTTGATATCATTTTGTAACAGTTTGGATAAGCACTAGAAGTCTATAGTGCATAACATAGCACTGTTAGAATTATCCATCTTTATCTTCATACAAATTCCACAAAATCAAAGAAGCTCTTTTATTTTGTTGCCAACAGATTAAATAGCATCTGGATAAGTAAAAATTATGAGATGCTGAAAGATTTCACCCTGAGGGATGAAACAACCATAATGCTTATTGTACAAACAGGATATGCAGGGATTCTCCTTTTACCGCATAACTGTCACTAAGTGTAATAAATCTCTGTTGGCTTCTGTGACCCCTCCCAATTACATGCTGTGTGCCTCTGTGGTTGGCTTTATGTCAACAGCTATTTTTACCTGAATGGATGCAGAGGATTGCACGTGACTGCAAATGACTCCACATGTGTTTGGGAGTGTGGGTGTGTGCATGAGCTGCACACCTGCATGAGTATCATGTATCTGCATGCATGCGTACATCACCTTGTATTTGTTTACACAGGGCCCACCGGGGCTTGCTGGTGCACAAGGAGCAAAGGTAAGTTTCCTGTTAACGTTGTTGTTTTTTTTTAGATCTTGTCTATAAAAAGCTATGTATGTGTTTTCACCAATGACCCAGCAACAAATTCAGCTCTTGAGCATTGGGTACACTTTTTGATTAATTCAACGTCCACATATCCAAAACAGTCTTACCTTAAACAACCTTTTGCATTACCTGCAAAAATCTATTCGGACTCACTGGTGGCCTTTACAGACAGAGTCAGACTTTCTTAACTAATTTGACATCTACTGGGACCAAGGATGTCTGCAGGAAAATCACCCCACATCGTATTGAATAATATTTCAAGAGAGCACAGGCACTCCACTTTATTTCAGGTCACCAAGTCTGTCTTTTGGAACGTTCACATCACTTTACCCCAAAACTAGGAAATAAATCTGCCATCAACAGAGCGAGGCTGCTTTAAATTACACTGAAGCTCTCCCACAATCACTTTGCTTGGACCTCAGAGTAGACCCAGACCGATACAAGAATTTTGAGACTGGTGCCATTATCAGCATGTGAGAGGTAAATAAATCTCATGATGAAACACAAAACCCCAAATCAACCACTAATACTAAAAGCTATGCTTTCGTTCAATATCAACAATTAAACTACAGAACAGATTACAGATGGAAATGAATGGTACCTTGTGGACTTTTCTTCTAAACAAACCAAAGTTATACACAAGACTCATTGTGTGTATCCTTGAGGTATAACAAACATGTTGAGTGTATTCCTTCCTCATCAAACATTTGCACAGTGGATTTCAGAATATTTAAATCCTACATTATTTACATCCCTGTTTACTTACTAGAAGTCTTCTTCTGTATGGATTTGCTGGTGCTTTTGTTTCTTGGCGCATACCGCCACCAACTGTTGATCAGTGGAATATTGTGAGACCAGTGGCACGTGCATGAGTGTCCTTGATACAAACAGAACCCGGACCCAGTCATAAAACGTTGTTCATAGCAGTACTAGTGCTTTAAAATGCACAAGGTACCTTTTAATGTAAGCATTGTGAAAGCTACAGCACATAGTTGACTATCAGGGCCTCTCATCATCATATTGCAATTTTACCAGGGTGAACAAGGAGATCGAGGAGATAAGGGGATGGACGGAGCTCCTGGAGTCCCAGGATTGTCTGGAGAGCCTGGTCGGAACGGACTATCGGGCTTGAAGGGAGAGAAGGTACAGAGTAGCAGCCATGTTTTCTCTACAGTCCTTATTCCTTTCTACTGACCATATGTGACAGAGATCTAGTAGGGACTTTTTGAGTTTGTAAGTCTTTTGTCTCTCCATCCATGAAGACATCAGTGATGGTTCCCAGTGGTTAAAAATGGACACTGATTGGCTAAATGATAACACTATAATTATTTTAATTATTATATTTTCTCAGGGTGATGCTTGTACCAGCTGTCCTTCTCTGGGCAGTGCGGTGGGTGATGGTGTAGCTGTGCCAGGCCCCAAAGGAGAGAGAGGAGACCCTGGTGCCCCAGGAGAAGGGAAGCCTGGAAAAAATGTAAGGAGACTGTGTATTTATTTATTTACTCCTGGCTCTCTGTACTATGGGAATTGCTGATGATCATCTTACATGTTTCCTTTCAGGGAAAACCAGGCTTACCAGGTGTGCAGGGGCCTGCCGGTCCCAAAGGAAGCAAGGTGTATTACCATATTTTTGAATACATGCAGAGCATTGTGTCTACTCGTACATCACTGACAGATTCTTATCTATGTTGTTCTGTGCACCCTGTAGGGAGAAGCTGGAGTTGCAGGAGTTGGCCTTCCAGGACCACAAGTAAGGCTGATGTGTCCTTAAAAAACCCATCTGGTTCAATAATGACGTTTTATGTCAACAGCCACTCTGTCATGCAAAACAGAGCTCCTAGATGGATGTGATCCTGCTGTGATCTCCATAATGAACACCATATCTTCCCATGATATCAGTGTTTTTTCTACCTCTTAGATCTAACAATTAAGTCATGAGGTTGTAAATAACTGTCTAAAAATAATCCTGGGCCGTTCTCTCTAAAATCCTTTGATTCATTGTGGAATCTTCATTACTTTGTATCAGGAAGCCAGTCCTCCCCTACTACTCCTCTGTGAAACATCTCACGTAGCCAGGCTTCCTCACCAAAATCTCCACTCTTTGTTTATTCACCAGACCACCTAAACCGCCTGCCTTTCTTTATCCTTTCTCTTTGTGATGTATGTCATAGGGTGAAGAGGGACCAAGAGGGATACCAGGACTTGTAGTAAGTTTCTCTCATATTTATAAAGTCCTACTTTTTATACACTAGATCTAGATTTTGGTCTAACTGGTGTGTTTTGTGCAGGGACCTCCTGGAGCCAGAGGATTGACTGGCCCTGTTGGCCCTGCAGGTGCAAAGGTAGCATAAATTAAAGAGGTGGAAGCCTAACTTATTGTTGCAATATACAATCAAATGTGCTTCATTTTGTTTGAAACAATGAAAGCATGTAACTTACACTGTGAGTTTGTTTATAGGGCTCTACGGGAGATGTCGGACCTTCAGGACCACAGGGGCCTATGGGAATCGGAGTAGCAGGCCCCCCGGTAGGACATAAATGCATCTTTTTGTGTGTGCATATGGGCATACAATGTCATGCTGTTGTATTGTCAAACACTGTTTTCTATTTGCTTTTTCACCCACAGGGTAGAGATGGAGCCCCTGGCTCTCAAGGATTGCCAGGAGCCGATGGCAGACCTGTGAGTTGTCCTGTTGCTTTATTTTAAGTCGGTGTTCCATTTGCATGTTTTTGTACATGTGCATCAACAATTTAAAGAGATGCTAAAGAAATTTCAAGCAAACTTGAGTTGTTGCCTCTGTGTTAGTGTCTGTTAGTTTAGAGTTTTAATTTTCTTTGAGCTTCTTTGGGAATTGTCCTTGATTTAGGCATCATTTGTAACCAAGGATGTCTGCCTCGATCCATAACAGAGGCAATGTCTGCTCCCATCTCATCCTCTGTCCCCTGATCTACGCTCAGCTCACTGCCCCGTGAGCTTTCTTCTGGAACAACAAAGCAAGAGTAACTAAGTGTTTGTGTGTGTGTGTGTCTGTGTCTTTGTCTTTGTGTGCATTTGTGCTGCCTCTTTCTCTTGCAGGGACTTGATGGAGCTAAGGGGGACAAGGTAAGTCTACCGTTTTGTTTGGATGAAGGGATCTGGAGGGGTTTGAATATAAGGGGTGGAACAGATGGTAATCGCAAGAGATGGTTCAACAGCCCCCCCCCCTCGCTTCACACACACAGACACACACACACACACAAGCATACGTGCGCTGACACACACATGCTCACACCTGCCTCGAGGCACAGATAGAGTAACAGCAGAGGTGACGAGTGTACTGTTGCTGGCAGACGAGGAGTTTCAGGGGCCTTAAGAGGGAGAGTGTGTGAGACTATTAATTACCGCATTCATCAGAGCCACCAGTCCAGACTGTCACTGAGAGGGTGGGAGAGATGAAGAAGCGGTGGAGGCAGCGCTCAAGGGTCGGGAGGGGTGTGAGATGTGGGACAGGAGCCCACTGTTAAAGGGGAAAAAATCAAGAAAACAAAGAGAGAATGAGCAAAAAAGGCGACGTTTTGCATTCATTGTATTCATACACAGTCTGGAGCTATCCCGGAGAGCTCATATATATTGTAAAAACCTGACTTGGATGTTAGAGGAAAGAGCAATTGGGGATATCATCCTCCTATTACAGATGTTAGGTGAATTACATCTTTCTTTACAACATAGCACCTGATACATTCATTGTGTCCTTGCACTACATTAAGATTTTGCGAACAAATCCATGTAATGCAACGCTTTAAGTTCACAAAGTGGTATAAAATTGTTCATAGCATTTCATCCCCTGCAGTTCTCAGAGTGTCTTTGTGATGCACAAGATTTCAAGATTTAGCAAAACTGCACAAAATAGTCCTGAATGCTCAAAGAGTTTTGACTTTCTTACAGTAAGTAGAGTAGTTTTAATGTTGAATGAGGACTCGGTTTTTGCAGTCTGTGCTTAAAATTGTGCAAAGACTTTCACTTCAGCTTTTTTATGGGTCTTTTTTTCATGTATATTTTAGGGTGTACCTGGAGAGTGCAACTGCATAATCCCAGTGCACAATGGCGTAGGCGGACCTGTGAGTACACACATGCACACACACTTAAATAAACACATGTAGGCATACAACTAGTTTAATCTAGAGAATTGTTGCCCCATAACGGAAGCCTGAATACACATGGACTTTTTAAACACACAAACACACACACAGGATTTTATTATGACTCCGCAGGGGACATAATGAGAAAAACGTTCATGCTAAGTTATTTCCCAAATTTGTTATTATTATTCTTAACTTCACATTGTGCACTCTTATTATATTCTGTTGGTGCAAGCAGCGGTGCTGCTCTGATTTTGACTACTTTTGCCTTCCAGGGAGCTCCAGGAACTCCAATAAACACATGGCAGCCCGGGCCTCAGGTCTGATCTGTCAGTCAGCAGCCCCGACTGATAACTTGGGCTTTGTTTGCATGCTCTCTGTTGTTACCTTGCAAAGTTTCTCTGAAAAATCACTGAATTCTTCAGTTGTTTTTGACTATGAATGCGTGCTGTCATCTGTGGCCATGCCTGTGTGTGTTATAGGGCCCACCAGGACCTCCTGGGCCCCCTGGCCCACCTGGGCCTCAGGGTGTTATTGGAATCCAAGGACCACAGGTAAGAGAAAGAGGCAGTTGGGTGGTGAAAGGGGTCTCTCTTCAGTTCAATTCAGAAGCTGGAGCTGATCAGCCTGGTTTGAACTACAAGCTACTTATGATGTAGGCTTTCAGCTTGGGCATTTCAGGTACTTCATAAAGGCAATGCTTTGATATGCTTTGCAACTTCATGGGTAAATAAAGTTCATAATATGCATGTAGTAAATGGAGCGACGTTATATTCTGAATTTGTGCATTAGTTTGGTGTAAAATAGGCTTAGAAAATTAGGATCCAATCATAAATGCACTAACCCGTTGGGTGCTTCAAGCTTTAATCCATGTGGGAAGCAACTGAGCAAGCTTTGGGAATGTCTGTCAAGACATGAACAGTTATTTGAAGGTCCTGTTTAAAATATCAATTTAAAATATATTGCAAGGCAAATTGAATGTACCAGTTTGATACATTTCTAAAGTTTGAAATTCGAGCAGACCTTCAAATAAATTGTGACTGCGATCTGTGTTGCAAGAGTCAAAGGTGTGAGAAAGACATTAGAAGTGGTGATGGTAACTGGATGGAAGAGGTTGTGTATTTGACAAAGGTGCATTTGTAATGCCGAACGCGAAATAGTACTTAACAAAATAGAATTTGTCTAAATTCAGTTGGCTTTTTAAATTTTTAAAGTTTCATGAGACATGGCAGAAGAAGGAAGAGGTTTGATAATTTTGACCTTTGACTCTGGTGGAGATGGGAGTGGCTATCCCTTGACTGGCAACAAACCAGTTCAACCTCAGTTCCTTCTTTCAGGGTATCCCTGGAAACGACGGGATACCGGGGAACCCGGGTTTGCCTGCATACATCGTAAGTAAAATTAGAGGGAGTAAAGGAGGGGAGGCGGCTCTTATCTACTGAGTGAAGATCTGGGGGATTTATGTATAAATGATGCAAAACTACAAAACAAATGCATGTGTCATGAACTGGTATTTATAAAAACTACATGTGTTTTTTATTGGATTTAAGAACTTAGTTTTTCGAGTTCAATTATAGGAACAATGTAATACCAAGGGTATTTGTAACAAAATTTTACTATAAATCTAAACACAGTTGCCTTTATTAACAAGTTGTGTTCTGTGTTAAAATCTAATATTGTACATTACAAACTGTAATACAAAGTTACCCCAGGTATATCAGAAATTTTGAGCACAAGTCCTGCTGTTAAAGGATGCTGCTGATTCCAGAACAAGCACAGTTTGGTTTATGTCACACAATATTAAAAAAGGGCTGCCGGTATATTGATATCTATTTATGGATAACTGTAGGAGTGGACATAAAGCTTGTGCATATGCCTGCATATTCATCATGACTGAGATGCATTACTTCAAACACATGCAGGAATTTTGCAAAAAAAAGGTTTAGCTTGTTGTGCATTTGGTCTGTATGTAACCTCAGGTCTTCTTGTGGACAAAGCTAGTTCACTTACGGTAAGTGTAAAGTGGAGAAATGAGGTGAAATGTTGTGAAGTTATCCGTGGATTCTTTTTTTATATGGTGTCATAGTTGTTTCTCACAAGCCTGCCGATGGCTTAATTTAATTAAGGGAACATCAATGCTGATCTTCAGCCAGCACTCAAGGGGAACTTCACCTTCAACACAGGAATTAAAGCAGCAGTTTAATGGAGGAAAAGGAGGTTGTGGAAAAAAGCACTCTGAAAAAGATTTGAGACTGATCTTATGAAAACTCTCTGCAGAAAGGTTTTGATTGAGTGCATATTAAGCAACAGCTCTATTATTACTAATTACTACTAAGTGTTATTTTAATGCATCCATGGATCATGAGTAAAAGGAAGAGATGCACAGAAAGTACTGCAGAATTGCTAAGTACTCTATCCCACTTGCAGAAGTTTGACTACAGTGGAAAAGTTGGCACCCTCTGCCCTCTATTAATTCCCACACATGTTGGTAGATGAGCCCATCAATGCCTCTTTTTCGGTTCTGCAGGTATTATGTAATTCAAAGCGCAGCTCTCAAGACCCTCAAAAACAGCTTAGTCTTTGAAACACAACAGAATATTGCTGAGAGAAATCACAAAGTTAGCAATTTTCAGATCCCTTTAGAGTGAGAAGTGAACATTGCACAGTGACATATAATTATAGAGAACCTTCTTTCGAGCAAGGCCAGTAACAGCCAATGGCGTGCAGCATAAAATAGCCTTTCTAGCTAATGGCTCCAGTTTGAACAATGTCAAATGGGTTTGTAATGACTTTGAAACCAGGCCAGGTGCTATTGACAGACTCTCTCAGTGGAAAGGGTCCCACTGCTTTGACAGGGAGCAGACCGCCTTTCACAGTAAATGTGATTGGGCTTGTAGAGTGAGCAGTTTTATTTGAAAACTAGCTATAAATAGACAGCTTAACTCCAATGTGGCATTTGTCTCTCTCGCTCTCTCTTTTGATGTGTTCTTGCACATATCCAGTATGTTTGTTTGTACATATATGTACTGTATGCACATTATGCGTTATGTGTCTGTTCAACTCTTTGAATTGTAAACTTTTCTGGGGCTGACTGGAGCTCTTGATGTTTCTTAGCCATTAAATGAAATGGGTACTGAGGTTTTGTTGTCGTTCTGGTGTTTATCTGCTGTACTGTAGAGCTTATTATGGCAATAAACATTATTATTATATGTGGTGCAATGAGGGTGTAATAAGCTTAGACTGCTGTATTTTAATGTGTCAATTAAGTTGGATTTTTACAGAAATTATGTTATAAAATTGGATTGTTAGTAGCATTATTATAAAAAACGATTTAAATATTTGTAACTGTAAATAGGCCTCTTGCATGATGGTTAAAATGTCTAAAACAGCCACCTCAGCAATTTATTTTGTCTCAACACTGTAGAGACTGATATGGTTATTGCTTGGAAAGGTTGTGACAGTTTGTACCAGTTTTTGTTGCAGCTTTTGGTGATAAAGTGAAGTGTGATTTCAACAACTGTCCGACGGACTTAGCAAAACAAATATTGTGTGCCATTGTATAAAAGCGCAAAAAATACTACAGATTTACATGTTACCATTTAATGGAATGACAAAAAAGTAACATGAAATAAGTTAATGAGATGAGGGTCAATTAGCTAAGTAGATAAGGAGTTGGAATTGGAAAGTGAGTGTGGGTAGACAGTGTTAGTATTTTACTGTAAGAGCAATAAACCTTTCACATTGCAACGTTTTGACTTGTCAAACACAGGCGTAACTAATAACTTTGATTGTGGCTGCATTCCATTTAAACGTGTCAGTTCCTGGGAAATGTCTGCTCTGAGGAAAGCCTCTTACCAGACTTACAATATACTGATGATTAATTTTATAATGAGTACGGTCTAGACCTGCTCTATTTTGAAAAGTGTCCTGAGATAACTTCTGGTAATGATTTGTGCCTCCAGTGATTATGAACAATGTCAAATGGGTTTTCGTAAATGACTTTGAAACCAGGCCAGGTGCTATTGACAGCTTTCAGTGGGAAAGGTCCACTGCTTTGACAGGGAGGCAGACCGCTCTTTCACAGTAATGTGATTGTGTCTTGTTAGAGTGAGCAGTTTTTATTTGAAAACAGCTTATAAAATAGACAGCCTTAACTCAATTGTGGCATTTGTCCTCTCGTCTCTCTTTTTTGATGTGTTCTTGACTATATCGTATGTTTGTTTGTAATATATGTACTGTATGCCATATGGTTATGTGTCTGTTTGCAACTCTTTGAATGTAAACTTTCTGGGCTGACTGAGCTCTAGATGTTCTTGCGCATTTAAATGAAATGGTATGGAGTTTTGTTGTTCGTTCTGGCTGTTTATCTGCTGTATGTTAGAGCTTATTATGGCAATAATAAACATTATTATTATATGGTGTAACCTGCAAATGGACGGGTGTAATTAAGCTTAGACTGCTTTATTTACCACGTGTCAACATTAGTATGATTTTTACAGAAATTATGTTATTATAATATGGATTGTTAGTAGCAACTCTAAGTAATAAAAAACGTTTAAATATTTGTACTGTAAATAGCTCTTGCATGTGGTTAAAATGTCTAAAAACAGTCCACCTCAGCAATTTTATTTTGTCTCACAACCACTGTAGGAGAACTGATATGGTTATTGCTTGGAAAGTTGTACATGTTTTGTACCAGTTTATGTTGCAGCTTTTGGTTGATAAAGTGAAGTGCGATTTCACAACATTGTCCGACGGATTAATGCAAAAACAAATATTTGTGTAGCCATTGTATAAACACAAGCGGCAAAACAGATACTACAGGATTTACATGTACCATTTAAGAATGACAAAAAAAAGAACATGAATAGTTAATGAGATGAGGGTCAATTTAGCTAAGTAGATAAGGAGTCGAAATTGGAAAAGTGAGTGTGGAGTAGACAGTTGTATAGTAATTACTGTAAGATGCAATAAGAACTTCACTCATATACAACGTTTTTGACCTTGTCAAACGACAGGCGTAATAATAACATTGATTGTGGCTGCATTCCATTTCAAAACGTTGTCAGTT